TTGCTTCCACACTCATTTTTCTCTTTCTTCCATCTTTTTACAGCTGAGAATATGGTCATTTTCCTATCAAAGACTCATCCTTCAACACCAGCTCAAGATCCCAGCCACCTCACCTTGTCAAGAGTTCACTTCTTTGATTATTTCCTCTCTCATCTACATCACAAGCTTCTCTCTCTTTGGATCATTTCCATGAACATATTAGCAAGCTCTGGAGAAACACCCTCTTGAGCCTGCCTCTCTTTCCAGCCACCACTCAATGCTCTGCAACCCTGCACAGCCCAACTCCTCTAAAAATGTGCTAAGCATGTTGCCTGCTTTATCTCATCACCCATGCATTTCTCAGTCTACTTCACAGTGGCTTTTACACCCTTCCATCCAAAATGGAAAAATGTCTATTCAGGTCTTCTTCCATTTTTTAATCAGGTTGTTTGTTTGTTTGTTTGACATTGAGTTGTATGAGCTGTTTATATATTTTGGTTATTAACCTCTTATCAGTCATATCAGTTACAAATATTTTCTTCCATTCAGTATGTTGTCTTTTTGTTTTGTTGATGGCTTTCTTCGCTGTGCAAACCTTTTGAGTTTAATTAGGTACCATTTGTTTATTTTTACTTCTGTTTCCCTTGCCTTATGAGACAGATCCAAAAAAATAGTGCTGATTTATGTCAAAGAGTGTTCTGAATATGTTCTCTTCTGTTCTAGGGATTTTATGGTTTCCAGCCATACAGTTAGGTATTTAATCTATTTTGAGTTTATTTTTGTATATGGTGTGAGAAAATGTTCTAATTTCTTTCTTTAACTTGTAGCTGTCCTATGTTCCTAGCACCACTCAGTTAAGAGCCTGTTTTTCCCTATTATGTATTCTTGCTTCCTTTGTTGTAGATTAATTGACCATAACTGTGTGGGTTTATTTCTGGGCTCTCTGTTCTATTCTGTTGGTCCACGTGTCTGTTTTTGTGCCGGTACCAAACTATTTTGATTTCTGTACTTTTGTTTGAAATCTCCAAGCTCTGTTATTCTTTCTCAAGATTGATTTGGCTATTTGGGGTCTTCTGGGTTTCCATACAGATTTTAAAATTATTTGTTCTAGTTCCGTGAAAAATGCCATTGGTTATTGATAGGGATTGCATTGAATCTGTACATAGCCTTGGGTAGCATGGTCATTTAAAGAATAATGATTCTTCCAATCCATGGACATTGTTTATCTTTCCATCTGTTTGTGTTGTCTTCAATTTCTTTCATCAGTGTCATAGTTTTCCAAGTACAGGTCTTTACCTCCTTAATTAGATTTGTTCCTAGGTATTGTATTCTTTTTGATGTGATGGTAATTGGGGTTGTTTTCTTAATTTCTCTTTCTGATGATTTGTTGTTAGAGTATAGAACCACAACAGATTTCTGTATGTTAATTTGTATCCTGCAACTTTACCAAATTCATTAATGAGCTCTGGTAGTTTTTTGGTGGCATATTGAGGATTTTCTTTTTATAATATTATGTCATCTGCAAACAGAGTTTTACTTATTCCTTTCCAGTTTGGATTCCTTTATTTCTTTTTCTTGTCTGATTGCTGTGGGTAGTACTTCCAATACTATGTTGAGTGCAAGTGGCAAGAGAGGGCATCCTTGGCTTATTGCTGATCTTGGAGAAAATGCTTTCAGCTTTCCACCATTGAGTATGATGTTAGGTGTGGGCTTATCATAGATGGCCTTAATTATGTTGAGGAATGTTCCCTCTTATACCCACTTTGTAGAGAGTTTTAATCATAAATGGTTATTGAACTTTATTAAAAAGCTTTTTCTGCATCTATTAAGACGATCATATGATTTTTATTCTTCAGGTTGTTAATGTGGTGTATCACATTGATTGATTTGCGAACATTGAGCCATCCTTGCATCCTTGGAATAAATTCTGCTTGATCATGGTGTACGATCCTTTTAATGTATTGCTGAATTTGGTTTGCTAATATTTTGTTGAGGATTTTTGCATCTGTGTTCATCAGTTATATTGGCCTGTAATTTTCTTTTTTGTGTGTGTGGTATCTTTGTTTGGTTTTGGTATCAAGGTGACACTGACTTCATAGAATGAATTGAAAGCATTCCTTCCTCTGCAATTTTTTGCAATATTTTGAAAAGGATAGGTGATAACTCTTCTCTAAGTGTTTGGTAAAATTTACCTGTGAAGCCATCTAGTCCTGGACTTTTCTTTGTTGGAAGTTTTTTGTTACTGATTCAGTTTTATTACTAGCTGTTGCTTTGTTCATATTTTCTATTTCTTCCTGGCTCAGTCTTGGGAGATACAGTTCTATGAATTTGTCCATTTCTTCTAGGTTTTTCCTGTTATTGCTGTATAATTTTTCAACGTAATCTCTTATGATCCTTTATTTTTCTGTGGTATCAGTTGTAACTTCTCCATTTTCATTTCTGATTTCATTGATTTGCCCTTCCTTTTTTATTGAGGAGTCTGGCTAAAGGTTTACCAATTTTGTTTATCTTTTCAAAGAACCCACTCTTAGTTTCATTGACCTTTTCTATTTTTTCTTAGTCCTCATTTCGTTTATTTCTGCTCTCATATTTATGGTTTATTTCCTTCTACTAACTTTAGGTCTTGTTTGTTCTTCTTCTGGTTCCTTCAGGTATAAGTTTAGGTTGTTAATTTGAGATTTTTCTTATTTCCTGAGATAGGCTTGTGCCACTGTAAACTTCTCTCAGAATTGCTTTTGCTGCATCACATAGATTTTGGATTATTGTGTTTTTATTTTCATTTGTCTCCAGGTATTTCTTAATTTCTTCTTTGATTTCTTTGGTGACCCATTTGGTTGCTTAGTACCATACTGTTTAGCTTCTACGTGGTTGTGTTTTTTTGCGTTTTTTTGTTCTTGTAGTTGATTTCTAGTCACATAGAGTTTTGGTCAGAAAATATGGGTTTTATTTTAACATTTTTTATTGAGTTATAGTCATTTTACAATGTTGTGTCAATTTCCAGTGTAGAGTACAATTTTTTAGTTATACATGAACATACATATATTCATTGTTGCATTTTTTTTCGCTGTGAGCTACCACAAAATCTTGTGTATATTTCCCTGGGCTATACAGTATGAAAATATGGTTGATATGATTCCAGTTTTCTTAGACTTGCTGAGACGTGTTTTGTGGCCTAGCATGTGACCTATCTTGGAGAATGTTCTCTATATATGTATGATTATTTCAAGTTTTCTGGTCTCTTATGTTTGAATGTACTTTAACAACCCTGCAATTTTACTACCACCCTCCCCAATGTTTGCTGTTTTTGACAGCATATTTTACATCTTTTTGTTTTGTGTATTCCTTAACTACCTATTGCGAACATAGGTGATTATACTACTTTTGTCTTTTAACCTTCCTAATAGCTTTGTACCTGTAATTACTGTGTATTTGCCTTTACCAGTGAGATTTTTTATTTCATAATTTTTGTATTTCTACTTATGGCCTTTCCTTTTTGCTTAGAGACGTCCGTTTAATATCTCTTGTAAAGCTAATTTTGTAATGCTGGACTCTTAGCTTTTTGTCTGTAAATCTTTTGATCTCTTCATCAAACTGAATGAAAGCCTTGCTGAGTAGAGTTTTCTTGGTTGAAGGTTTTTCCCTTTCTTTGTTTTAAATATCTTGTGCTGCTCCCTTCTGGCCTGCAGAGGTTCTGCTGAAAAGTCAACTGATAGCCTTAAGGGAGTTCCCTTGTATATAACTTGTTGCTTTTCCTTGCTGCTTTTAATATTCTCTCTTTATCTTTAATTTTGCCTTTTTAACTACAATGTGTCTTGATGTCGTCCTCTTTGAGTTGGTCCTGCTTGGGACTCTCTGTGCTTCCTGGATGTAAATATCTGTTTTGTTTCCTAGGTTAGGGAAGTTTTCAGTGTTTATGTCTTCAAACATGTTCTCTGCTCCTTTCTCTCTTCTCTAGCTGGGACCCATATAATATAACTGTTAGTGCACTTGATATTGTACAAGAGTTCTCTTAAACTTCCTCATCTTTAAAAATTCTTCTTTCTGTTCAGCTTCAATGATTTCCATTACTCTGTCTTCCAGTTCATTGATCCATTTCTCTGTATCATTTAATCTACTGTTGGTTCCTTCTAGTGTATTTTTTATTTCAGCTATTGTGTTCTTCATCTCTGTTTGGTTCTTCTTTATATTTTCTAACTTCTTGCTAAACTTCTCACTGTTTTCATACATATTTTTCCTGTGTTCTTTGAGCATCTTTAGGATCATTACCTTGAACTCTTTATCAGATATTGACTTCACTTAGTTCTGTTTCTAGAGTTTTATCTTGTTCCTTCATTTGGAATATATTCCTCTGTCACTTCATTTTGCCTAATTCTAGCTGTTTATATCTTTATGTATTTGATAGATTGGTTCCATTTCCTCATCTCAGAGAAGTGGCCTTATCTAGGGGACATCACAACCTATGCATCCCAGCAGCGCACTCCCCTCTGGTCACCAGAGCTATATGTTTTATGGGTGCTTCCTATGTGGGGTATGCGTGTTCTTCTGTTGTGGTGGTCTGAGTGCTGTGGGCAGTCTAGTAGGTGTGGCTGGCTCCCAGTACAGTTGGTTGCTGATCTCTCAGGGAAGTTACTTAACCTCTCAGCACTGTCGTCAAAGAGCTATTAAGAGGATTCCAGAGTTAATACGTGGAAAGGGGCTTATAATAGCCCCTGACATTTAGTAAGCACTTTAAAATAGTATTATTCCTTTTTACGCAAAAAAGAGATGAATTAATACTTACTTTGCATCTTCAGTGTGCTAGGTGTGTCTTTGATTTATCTTTATAGAAAGTTTTTGAAGTAAATGCTATTACGCTCATTGTTCAAGTTCAGAGTTGTGAAACTAGAGAGGGACAGAATTGACATTTGAGCATATACCTTCTTGACTCCATAGCCCATGCTTTTTCCTCTGTAGAAAGCCAAGGGTGATAATGAGGGATTCACTTTCCACCTTTGAGAAATGAAACTGTTCTTCCCTTACAGGTTTGAATCTCTATTTACAGACTTGGAACTGAGGCAGGAAGAGCTGGGCATTGCCAACTTTGGGGTCTCTGTCACCATTATGGAAGAAATCTTCATTTGGTAAACAAGTACAAAACTATAGACTCCAAAAATCTTAGAGTTGGAAGGGTCATCTATCTAAACATTGCCCAGTACTTGAATCCTTTTTGTAACATCCTCACTGAATGGTCTTCCAACCTGTTACTGGTACTTCCAATGACAGACATATTGGTTAATGTAGAAAATGTTGAATGTAGTATCATTCAACAAATGTAATTTTAACAGAACTTTCTAGGAATGAAAAACCAAAAAGACATGGTATCAGTTGGTATGCTTTTGACTATAAGTAACAGATAATCCTAACTCAGCTGGTTTAAACAATTGGGAAGTCCTGCTGTTTCATTTTAAAAAGATTTCCCAAGGTAGGATAGCTCTGGGATTGGCTGATTCATCCACCAAGTTCTTTGAGTGTCATGAAGCAGGGATACTGGCTCAATGCTAGGAAGGCTTTGAGACTACATTCCAGGTAAACTACCCAGGAGACCACACTAGGCCAGAAAGTGGCAAGGGGAATAGTTAAGTGTTATTTTATCCAATTTGGTAATATTTGTCTTTTAAATAGAATATGTAAGCTATTTATGAATATTACTTATGATATATTTAAGTTTATATCTATCATTTTATTTTATATTTTCTACTAGTGCTGCTTAGTCTGTATGGCTCATTCTCTCCCTATTTTGGATTATTTTATCTCATTCTGTATTCTTCTCCTTCTCCCATTCTAGTCAGAAATTATGTATTCTTATTGTATTTTTTTAGTGGTAAGCCTAAATATTGAGATACACATGTGTAATTTATCCAAATCTCAGGTGAATTAATATCTTTACTTTGCTCCTGGAAAATACTAAGCCCGTGGAACATTTTAATTTTATTCACACACATCCCACCCTCACCAACTTATACACTGTTGTTTTATATTTTAATTCTGATTTTAACTCCACAGAACATTATTATTGTTGTTTTTAGAAGACAATGGTTGTTTAAGTTCATGTACATATTTACCTCTTTCTGTGTTCTTTCCTCATGTTTATCAGATAACTTTCCTTCTGCCTGCAGTGTATTCTGTACCATGTCCGTTACTGTTTTTATGCTGGTGCCAAACACTCTTGGTTTTTTTGGTCTGGAAATAATTTTATTTCTGTATGATTTTTGAAGGATATTTTCCTTTTCCATTCTTTTGTATTCAATGTTACTGTGGCCATATATTTTAGATGTATTTCTTATAAACAGTGTATAGCTGTAATTTCAAAAAACATTAATTTTTCTATCTTTAGCTTTTAAGTAGAAGCTTTGGTCCTTTACAACTAATAAAAATTCTAATTCATCTGGTTTTAAATCTACCATGTTGCTCAGTGTTTTCTATTTATCCTACCAATTCCACATTCTTTTTTATTTCCTGTTTAGCCTTTTGGATTGATTTAGTGAGGTTTTTTAACTTTATATTTTCTCCTCTATTAGTTTAAAATTTGTAATTTTTTTCTCTTCTCTTAGTGGTTGTCCTAAGATCACAATGTGCATTTTTAACTTATTAAAGTTTACAATAAACTACATTTACTGTATTCTAGGCAATGCAAGGTACATACCTGACTTAAATTCCATTTATTCCACTTACAGAGTTATGTGCTATTTGGTCCAACTATTTCAATTTTGTATATGTTTCAAACCCATAATACTTTATTGTGCAACAAATATTCATTTATATTTCTCACATATTTGCCCTTTGCATTGTTCTTTATTCCTTCATTCACCCTCAAGCTTCCATCTAAGACCATTTTCTTTCTGCCTGAACAATATCCATTTCCTTTAGTGTGGATTTTCTAGTGATAAAGTGTCAGTTTTTATGTGCCATATTTTTGGCATTCATTTTTGAAGAACATTTTTCCTAGATACAGAATTTTAGGTTGGCAGAGGTTTTTTTTTAACACTTCTGCAGTGCAATTCTATTGTCTTCTTTTTAAAACAGATTTATTGATGTATAATTTACATACTGTAGCAATAGTAATTAAATCATACCAGAAAATTTGATGACTTTTAATAAATTTAGAGTTGTGTGACCATAACCAAAATCCAATATTAGAACATTTTCATCACTCTGAAAAGATTTTTCATGTTTACTTGCAAACATTCCTTGTTCCCATCTCTAGCTCAAGGCAACCGGTAGTCTACTTTCTGTCTTTATATATTCACCAATTCTGACCATTTCATAAGAAGAGATAAATTGGGAGTTTGAAACCTGTATCTCTTGGGGATAGATGGGATTGTTAGGTATCTTGATTGTGGTGATGGTTCCACAGGTGTATACATCTATCAAAATGCTTCAAATTGTACATCTGAAACACATGTAATTTACTGTACAGAAATTATACCACAATCAAGTTGGGTTTTTTTTTAATGGAATCATTTGGATTTATACGTAGAAAATCATACAATATGTATTTATTGTGTCTTGCTTCTTTCCCTTAGAATAATTTTTTGGAGGTTCATTCATGTTGTAGCATGTACAGTACTTTGTTCTTTTTATTGCTGAATAGTACTCCATTATATAGAGAGGTTGTTTTTTGCTTATCCATTCCATTCTATTGTCTTCTGACTTCCAGTATGTCCACTGAGATGTCAGCTGCCAGCATTATTGTTATTTTTAAATGCAATTTGTCCTTTACCTCTGGCTGCTTTAGTATTGTTTTTCTTAGGTTTTATTATTATCTTTTTTATTATTGTTTATCTTAGGTTTTCAGCATTTTTACAGTGATCAGTGATGTGCCTTTGTGTGGCTTTCTTTATGTTTCTCTGCTTAGGATTTTTACCACTTTTCACATTGTAGTTTGCTAGTTTGGTCAGTTTTGGAAAATTCTCAACCAGTCTCTCTTCAGATTTATCCTCTCTTTCCATTCTTCCTGGGACTACTATTTATACATGATTTTTACCTTTCACATGTCTCATCCATTATACTCATTTTTTGTGTGTGACTTGTATTCATTATATGTTGCTACATAACAAATGACCCTAAAATTTAGCAGCCTTGAAACAACAAACATTTATTACCTCACAGTTTCTGTGGATCAGGAGTCCAGGAGCAAGTAGATGGGTCATTCTGGCTGAGTGTCTCTTGCAAGGTGGTTGTAGTCAAGCTGTGAGCCAGGGCTGTAGCCTCTGAAGGCTCAGCTTGGGGAGGATCCACTGCCAAGCTCACTCCTATTGTTGTTGGCTGGCCTCAGTTCCTCACCACGTAAGACTCTTCCCAGATTGCTGGAGTGGCTCTGTGATATGGCAACTGGCTTCCTGATAGAGAATGATCAGAGAAAGAGATAAAGAGAGAGAACATGACCAAGGTGGAAGCTATAGTCGATTTGTAACCTAATCTTGGAAGTGTCATTTTATCACTTTTGCCATATTCTGTTCATTAGAAGTTAGTCACTAGGTCCAGCTCATAATCAAGGGGAGGAGATTAACACAAGCAACAAAAGCAAAAATAAACAAGTGGGGCTACATCAAAATAAAAAGCTTCTGCAGAGCAAAAGAAATGCTCAAGAAAATGAAAAGGCAACCTACTTAATGGGAGAAAGTATTTGCAAACACATGTCTGATAAGGGGCTAATATCCAAAATATACAAAGAATTCATACAACTCAATAGCAAAAAAAAAAATCCGATTTGTAAATGGACAAAGGGCCTGAGCAGACATTTTTCCAAAGAAGATATTCAGATGTCCAACAGATACAAAGATGTTCTATATTCAACATCACTAATTATTACAGAAATGCAAATCAAAACCACAATGAGATATCACTTCACACCTGTTAGAATGGCTGTCATCAAAGAGATAAGATAAGTGTTGGCAAGGATGTGGAAAAAAGGGGAACATTTGTGCTTTGTTGGTGGGAATGTAAATTGGTGCAGCCACTATGGAAAGCAATACTGGAGGTTCCTCAAAAAATTAAAAATTGAACTACCATATGATCCAGCAATTCTGTTTATGGGTATATATCCAAAGGAAATGGAATTACTACCTCAGAGAGATATCTGCACCCTCATGTTCATTGCAGCATTATTTACATTGGCCAAGTTACGGAAACAACTTAAGAGTCCATCAACAGATGAATGAATAAAGAAAATGTGATTGATAAACACACACACACATATACTACTTTAAAAAAAAAAGGAAACCCTGCCATTTGCAGCAAACATGGATGGGCGTTGAAGGCAGTATGCTCAGTGAAATGTCAGAGAGAGAAAGATAAACACTGTAAGATCTCACTTATGTGTTGAATCTAAAACAACAGCAACAACAACAAAAACTCATAGAAACAAAGAATAGATTTATGGTTGCCAGAGTTGGGGATAGGAGTAGGGGAATAGGGTGAAGGTGCTCAAAAGTTTCAACCTTCTAATCACTTGGTTCTCCTGGCAACCAGCCCCTATCTTTTGGTGCTTTCTGATAGTCAGTCTGTTAACATAATGCCACTGCCTCCTGCCCACTGCCATATAAGGACACCATCTTGGAAGGTGATCCTCCTGCCTAGTCCAGCCTTCAGACCACACTGCAACCTGGTCGACAGCTTGACTGCAATCTCATGAGACCTTGAGACAGAACCATCTAGCTAAGCCAGTCCCAAATTCCTGACCCACAGAAACTGTGTGAGATAATAAATGTTTACTGTTGTTTTAAGATGCTAAATTTTGGGATAATCTATGTCACAGCAATAAATAACAATTAGTCCACTGTCTTTTACAGCACTGTACTGGAGGGGAAATGAGCCACAGTTTACTGGATTTTGTTGTGACAAATTCCCAGCAATAGAATAACTGGCTCAAAGGCTATGGATAAAAATATGTTTCTTGACCTGACAGTCTGCTGCCAGCAATGAATATATCTTTTTGCCTTGAGAGGGGTTTGGCAAACTTTTTCTTAAAGGCCCAGATAGTAAATACTTCAGGTGATGTAGGCTTCATAGCAGCATAATTAAGGGTGTTATTGGGGGTGGGGTGTATAGCTCAGTGGTAAAGTGCATGCTTAGCATGCAGAGGTCCTGGGTTCAATTCCTAGTACCGCCATTAAAAAAAAATAAGGATATTATGTAGGCACTTCGATAACCATCTAACAGGTAACCATTTAAAAATGTAAAATCCTTTCTGAGCTCAGGGCCATACAAAAGCAAGGTGTTGGGCTGAATTTGGCCCACTGGCCTTCATTTACCAACCCTTGGGCTGGAGTGTCAGCAATGCTGCATTTTGTAATTTACAGTTTTGCTCATAAAATAGATATCAAGCAATATTTTACTTTTGTTTTAATTTGTATGTGGTATATTTTAAGGAAAATAGTGAAATCTACTTATGCTAGTATTGCCCCAGTTATATGGAAAAGCCATTGGTCAGTTAGTTCAGTTCTTACTCAGTTGCCTATTTAAGAAATTTCTAGCCATTATATACTTCTAGCAGTATATAATCTTGGTGCAGCTCTTTTTTCCCTCATTATTCTTATTTTTTTTCGAATCTTACATGACTTTCATTCTTTAAATCCAAACAAAATGAAATGTATTATGATTTTGAGAATTTGTATTTCTTTTTGCTTTTCATTTGGCTTAGGGTTATTAAGTTGGTAGATTCCAGTACAGATATGCAAGTCATCAAGCTTCCCTCCTTCCATTCTCAGCCAGTGGTTAGCAGAGTTCCCGCTAGCAGAATTAAATGTCTTCATTCAAGGATCTTCTCCACAGGGTCCAGCCTGGCAATCCAACCAAACACTGGGGTGAGCAAACGTTTCAAAGCATGCAAGAAAGCAGATTTTTGGTTCATTCTTGGAATCATGATACTATTCAGTTATAAGTGTATATCATTCTTCAATAGGGACTTAAGAAAAAATACGCAGATTTTTGGCATTAAAGACTGGCTCTGTTGGGTTTCAGCAAAAACCACGCTCTTTGCTCCAGTTCAAAGGCAGAATGCTGGTGTTTTCTGACCAGAATCATAATAAAAGGTCTTGGCCATTCCTTTCACCAGGAAGAAGAAAGAATAAATGCACTAAATCCACTGGCCAAAAAGCACATTTAATTCTTTTTAATCTTTCACTGTGAAACAAATCATGTATTGTACCACTTGGAATTTAAACTTTTAAAAATATATCCTTATAAAATAAATACATGGGCAACCGGTAATATTCTTTTAATGCTAAAAAAAAAAGAATATTGATGTGCATTTTATATAGTGGTATTGATTTAGCTATCTATAAGTTATTGCTACAAAATAATGAAGCTGGTTTTCACAGATTAGTGAAGAGATTAATCTCACTGTTTTATAATTATGAATCACATAGTCAAGAGGAAGCTGCCATCCATGGAGCCTCTGAGTTGGAAAGAGTCTAGGGGGTCATCTACGCCAACCGCCTGTCCTGAACAGCAGGCTCTTCTCCAATCCCCAGCAAGCGTCTATCCATCCTCCACCTGGCCAACTTTACTGTTGGAAACAGCTCCTGATTCTTCCCAGGAAGTATTTCTCACGGCGCCACCTCAGACAGGTTGATAGCAGGGCCTTTTGACAAATGCTTGAGGTGAATGGAGCCTCCATCACGTCAAATGTAGGAAACTTGGGGAGTTGTTTGGTAGAGACTTCCACGGATTTTTTTGATATTCTGGAAATGGAGCACTAGCACCTGAGGCTTGAAGGCGCCCTGGCCTGTCCCAGCTAATGCAGTACCACAGAAAAGCTGAGTGGGAGCTCGGTGCTGACGTCACAGTCTCCCACCTCCAGGTCCAAAACTAGATCTTGGGATCTCAGTACATGTGAGTAGTCACTTCGACATTTACTGTCAATGCCACAGGGATATCTTGTGCATGGGTCCTGCGTATTACACAAGTGTGCCTATAGGATCCATTAATAGAAGTGGAATTTCTAGGTTGAAGACTATGTGAATATCAGAATAATTTTATTCATCCAGCCAATTTGTTTTCTAAAAACGTTATACCAAATTAAAACACCAGCAGTGGCATTCCCCCATATCCTCATCAACTTAAAATTTTTGCCAATCTGGTAGGTAAAAAACAATTGTATCATACTTATATTTGGTTTCTGTTTAGGCTATTCTTCCAGACTCTTTCCAATATGTGCCTTCTTTTTCTGCCATTAACTGTTAGTCAAATAATTAGGTCAATGAATTTTAATTTGAAGCAATTTTGAACATAATCAAATTGTTAGACATTTAGCCACTTAACTGCCAGCCAGCTCCTATCTATGACCATGTTAATGGTGGATCTCCCTTTTTTTAAATTGTAGTTCAGGCTTCTTTGCCAACAGTTCTATGCCATGCTCTTGAAAAGGGTTACATATTCCTGGTGCAACTGGATGATGATGCTGTCGATACAGATCCTGGTGCCTCTGGTGATCATTATGCTCAGCCTCTCACTCCTCAACTTCAAAACAAGTATGGAAAATGTCCCATTGGAGCTGACCCTAAAATCATATGTTCAAACTATTGTTCCATTGTTTATTTCTCCAAATTCCAGGCTGGGTCCTCAGCTTTCATAACATTTTACAGATATGCTTGTGGCTGAAGAACAGATTCCTCTGAAGCTGCTAAGTAAGTCCCAGGCAAGGAGAATGGGGCAGGAAGCAGGTCCATTGCTCCCTGCAGTGAAGCCATGTGCTTCCAGGCCACCTGATGCTCCCTAAAGTCAGAGTGAATGGCCAAAAGTCTCAGAAAAATATCTTTCAAAACCCAAATGGCAGGAAAGGGAGAGTTCCTAGAAATGAAACCAAGTTGTGTCTTTCTAGGGATTAGAACATGTCCACAAAAGAAACTGATACATTTCCTGATATATTCTAATGTACTGAAAAGAGAGTTACACTTCTATCAAGGGAGTATGTGGATGACTTGGTGATAGATGTGGAGAAAACTAAGCAAATGAGAAAAGGAGAACGTTATTAACTTCAGGGGAGGAAGGCTGTACCAAAAAAGAAACCTGTCATAATATACTGCTTGATTCAGCTGTGAATAATTTTTACTTTGTTATAGTAATGTCAAAACAGACTGTTGATTTAACCAAATTTATAATACAACTCTAGAGGGAGGAGAGGGGAGGGGAAGACCAGAGAGGCTGGGCATAGTCATAAGAGAACAAAATCCTTGCTTCCGTGATAGGATGTCAATAGAGAAATGGGGTATCTAGCAGTCTGGAGAAATACCAACTAGAAGATTTCAAAGTAGTTGCCTCTGGTGAGCAGTTACCAGGGATGGTGAAGGGTAGGCCACAGCACTGCTACTTCTCATTATAATTTTTATATAATTATTTGATTTTTAAAATTATATTCATGTGTTATTTTAAATTGAAAATTTTAAGAAAGTTTTTTAGTAAAGTGATGAAATGCAGAACATCCTATAGCAAAATAGTTGGAATTGCAGTACCCTGCCTCTCCCTTGCAAAATGGAGAGAATAATAAAACTTGCCTCATGTTGTCCTCGGAGGCTTCCACGAGGGAGTGCCTATCACGGGCTTTGCACACTGTAACGCTGGCGCTCAGTAATCTTCAGTCGGTGATACAATTCTCAGTATTGTTGTTGCTATGATTGAGGGTCCCTTCCAGCACTAAAAATTCCAGAATTCTAGGTGGGTCATATATCTTACCTGGCACTGTGTGCTGGAAGTACTGTGATGAACAATATTATTACCAGTCCTTAATGAGCGTCTAGCCCAGAGGTCATATGGATAAGTGACATTAGTTACAATGCAAAGGAACAGTAAGTGGTGATCATCACACAGACACATCTCAGCCTTAGAGGGGCAGAGGATACTTCCGAGATAAGAGCCTAAGGTATGAACAGGAATTGACCTGTAGTAGGGGAAGATAACCCAAAGAACATTCCAAACCACGAGAAGAGCATTTGTAAACATGGGGAATGGTGAGTCCTTAGGCATGGCTAGAACTTAAAGACAGGAAGCTGAGTTTGGATAGTCATCAGGCACTGTAGGTCATGTGCAGGCATCTGGCTTTATCCCAAGAGCAATGGGGAGTCACTTGAAGTTATTGGGTGGGTGCAATATGATCAGATATGTCCTCTCACACAGAGACCGGAGGGACTGGATAGGAGGCAAGGAGCTCCATTAGTCCAGGCAAAGGTGGCGGGGCCTGGACTACATCAAGGCCATGGGGAGGAGGGGAGTAGACAAAGCTGAGAGAGATTTAAAAGATGGCTGGACAAGACTTTTTTTTTCACTGCTCAGTCAAAGAAAGGAAAACTTTCTTTGAGCCATGGGGCTAGGGCAGGAGGCAACCCTGTGGACAAAGGGGATCACTGCAATCAAGGGCACGCTCATGTCAGGAGGAGCCCCCTTCTGGATGTGAGCGGGGCTTGGTGATGAGATAGAGACCCAGGAGGACCAGCGGTGAGGGGAGGCCAAAGGCAGGTCCTCTCTGCCCTGTTGGGCCTGATGTGAATGTTCTGCTCTCTTCTAGGTTCAGTGGAGACGTTCCTCTTAAACAAGTCCGAGGAGGAACCCGAGGTCTTTGATCAGAACTACATAGTGGCAGCTTCCTTCGAAGACATGGGAAACCACACCATAGTGACAGCGCTGTTCAACAACCAGGCCTACCATTCCTCTGCCCTGGCACTGGCCCTGGTGGACAACGTTCTCTCCAAGTTGCTTTCTGGTGCCAGGGCTTCAATTACGGTATTCAACCACCCTCAACCTCAGTCACGCTTGGAGACCTCGGAGAATATCTTCTATGAGTATGTGCAGCTTTTCCTCCTTCCTCACTGCAGTGCTTCTCCCTTAACCTCCCATGTCTTCCTTTTTTGTTTCTTGTTTTAATTACAAATTGTTATTTTGGAAGATGGTTGCTGTCAGCAGTTGCACTTAAACCGCTACCTCTCTCCTCATATCTTGTCTTCTACAGGGGCCCTAAAGGACATTATCTTGTTATCAGCTTGCTTTTTGGAATAGCTTTCTTGTCTAGCTCTTTCTCCATCTTGATAGTCAAAGAGAGATCCATCAAGGCCAAGCACGTCCAGTTCATCAGTGGAGTTTACGTGGCTACTTTCTGGCTCTCTGGTCTGCTCTGGGACCTCATCTCCTTCCTCATTGCCACTCTGCTGCTGCTGGTGAGGGCAGTGTGGTGCTGGTGCCCTTCCCCTGCAAGGCACAGGGGACTCTGTGAAGACCCAGAACCGGACCAAGAGTCCAGGCTGGCAGCTCAGCCCCTGATTGGCAACACAGGGTGTGAAAGCACGTTCATCGCTGACCCTCAATAAAAGATGATTCAGGTCCCAGCATCCTTAGGAGCAGAGGGGCCTGCTCTAGTGTCTCTAATTTGTGGCTTTCCCAGAACTGCTGCCCCAAGCTAGTTAAAGACAGTGCCTTGGGGACATGTGTTTATCGTCCAGGAATAGCTCACCAGGGCATTGAGGGGTGCAAGTGTTTGGTGGTGACTGAGGTGTGCAGCTTGAGGTTCCCTGATCATTTATGCAGAGTGGATCACGTCCTCCTTTGTTCTGCTTCTGTGTTTTGTAAACGTCTCTGAGGCCTTGATCTCACCGCGCTGATTTCCAGGGGCAGAGCCAGCTGTTGCTGCACTATTGGCACTAGTCAGTGAAGGGAGTTGCCCGTGGAGTACTTCTAACACCTTATTTACCTTACTTTTAAAACTGAGATTATCGTTTTCTTTCTCTAAAATGCTTAGGATTGACTCTCAGTGACACTTTTGCAAATTCTACCCCCCTTTCCTAAGGTGGTGTTTCTGTACTACAATGAAGAGGCTTTTAAACATGAGGAAAACATCCTGGCTGTTTTCTTGATGCTAATGCTCTATGGCTGGGCTATCATCTCCTTCATCTACTTGACCAGCTTCTGCTTTGACCATTCGGGCAGCGCCTGTGTTAAGGTCATCATCACGCTCACCTTCTTGAGCATCAGCCCCCTTGTCCTCATCGCAGTCACAAGTGAAAAAGGTGAGGACCATCCACACATCACGCAGCTTTAACCCTCCCCCCAGCAGCCACAGAAGTTGTACCCGTGAAAGCGTGTGTCTGCCCGGGGCCTGTGCGAGGCTCTTCTCAGCGGCTGTCGTCGGTAGAGCCACAAACCATCCACGTCCCGGATGTGCATCTCCTAGAGGACAGAGACACACAGCAGTTATATTCATCAGCGGAGTATGCTCAGCACCGTAAAGGGAACAGACATTCACCGCATGCAGCAGTGAGGACAGATGTCAAAACATGGTGCTGTGCGGAAGAGGCACACTCTGAGCCAGGAAGCAGTTGCCTCAGAGCCAGGGGAAGGGCTCCACTAAATAGAGGCCTTAGGGCACTTTCTGCAGTGATGCAAACATTCGGTATCTTGAACAAGGTGTTGCTTACTTGGGCATAAATATTAGCAAAATTCAAAAAACTATCTACTTATGATCATGCATTTCACTGAAATAACTTATTCCTCAGTTTAAAAGAAGGTAATAATAAGCCAGGGTTGGGCGAAGGCTGCTTGGTGACATGTAATTAGAGTAAAAGAAGCTGCGGAGTGAGCCATCATTCACACCATGTATTTAAAACTGATGCCTTCCTGTCTGGGCTGCCATCTCTCTCTGGGTCAGGGCTGGATGCACTCGAGCATGCTTTACCTCTGTAATGCTCTTGTTCATTTACATTCATGCTGACCACCTCCTTTAAATTGACTTTTGGGTTTCGTTGGGTGTTTTGTTTTGTTTAAAACTACGTTGACAGCTTCCTCTGCTGTCACCTTGGGAGTCGTTGTCTCTTACAGGACATTTCATGTATGTATTCTTATCTATTTGGAATGTATTTCACTGGTCTCAGAGTCTGTGGTACCTTTTCTAGTTCTCATTCATACCACCTGTGGAATTTCAGAGGAAGAATTACTTTCATCTGAGAGGATCAGAAAAGTGACAGTGTTTTGACTTTATGATTGAAATAGAACAGAAAATGCACTGCAGGCAAAGGAATGGGGACTCACAGAGGACTGTCCTGAGGGAGTCCGAACCCAGCAGTTCTCAGATGCAGCGTGTCCCCGAGACTGATGCATCAGCCCTTAAAGACATAGCCTGTGTGATTCCAACACAGGTGGTCCAGGGGATCATTCTGAGAAATGCTGCCCTCATCTCCGGGGAAAGTCTTCCTCCTTTCCTACTCTCCTCTGCCACCCAACCCACTCCAGAGGGACAAGCACCTGAAAGTCCAAGGACACTGAGGGCCCTGATAGGAGCGCAGCTTTTTGAGAAGATAACTGATGACCACGCTAGCGCTTGACTCTCTAGACATTCTCTCTGGATCCTTTGGCCTACCTAGGATTCATTTCTTCTTAGATTGCTTCATGCTGTTCCTTCTCTTCTTTCCTGTGCTGCAATAACAAGGACCAAGGCCCTTCCTCTGCGTAGCAGGAGGCATCTTCCAACTTAAAAACTAAGTGGAAATCAGGTGAGTCACCGGGGAAGCAAGGATGGGACATGGCAAGAAGCTCTATCTCTGGTCTGGGGAAAAGGATGCCAGTGCCTTCTTGGGCCCCATCCCTACTTCCTGAGAAAGAAAACCATTACAGACTGGACCTTGGGCCCTGTACACACGCCCTAGGGGCCTCATTAGGATGCTGTCACCACAGTAGACAGAGTTGTGAAAGCTAATTCTTCACTCTCATTTTCCTAAGACCCCACTAAAATGATAGCAAAGAAATAAAAATTATGAATTTACAATGAAGAGGCAGCTAAAGTACATTCAGAGAGGAAATGGCTGAGCAAGGACCTAATTTAGTGACATAATCCTGGAAAAGCTTGAGACCTCAGAGAAAGGGAGGGAAGGCTGGGCTAGAAACAGTCTGTTCCATCCCAGCTGTCTCTGTTCCCACTTCCCACCCGGAAGCAGTCAGAGATCTCTCCTCTTGATGAATCAAACCTGCTTCCAAAAGAGTCCCCTGCCTGGTTGCCCTAAAATGTGGCCTGCCCCATACCTCCATACACAAAGCTAGCAGGAGTAGAAAAATACAGGAAATGAAACCAAGCAAAACAAAGATTCTGGAAAGGGTTTCATTATCAAACAACAAAATTCCATGAAGAGGAGAACTTTGAGACCGAGAAAGGGCTGATTGCCAAAATAAAAATTTAGCAGACGGGTTGGAAAATGAAAGCAATTAACCTCCCGGAAAGTAGAGCAAAAAAAATAAAAGAAATAGAGAAATGGAGAGAAAAGGCAAGTAACGTAAGAGTAAGTCCAGGAGATGCTGCAGTATTCAGTTGATAAGCATGCCAGAAAGAGAAAACAAAGGAAATGAAGTAGAGGAAGTTACCGAAGAAATAAAGCAAGAAAATTTCCCAGAGTTGAAAAAACCAGCGTCGAGACTGAAGGGATCCATCAGATGTCCAACACTGAATGAAAAAAGACCCACACCACTAAACTAGTTAGAAGATAACTAGTTCTACACTCAGTTCAGTTGTCAGTCAGGTGGAGGGACAGAACAAAGACAATTTCAGACGGGCAAATGGAAATTTTACCCACCAGGTCACTTTCTTGGAAACTTAATTAAGGATATAGGCCAGCAAAATGAAAAAGTAAAGCAATAAAGAAGGCATGAGATCCAGAAAAGAGTGAATCCAGCCCAGGAGTGTGGCAAAGAAAAGCCTATTCAACTGGAGGGCTGCATAGTGATGATTTGTGACCTCTCCTCAGTCTTCAACCAACTGTGGAATAGAATCCAGAGAGAAGGAAGGAAGGAAACTAAGCAAGAGCTGTAAATATCTGTTCCTTTGATTAGACATACTATTGGTGAACACTTTGTCTGATTCTGGTTAGGGTGAGCTTGGGCCACGGGGGTTGTCCCCTCTCAGATTTCAGCCACTACTCTTTTAGGGGCCCAGAATCATTGCTGAGCAAGGGTAGGTCTGGGCAGAGACGCGGCTGACTGTTAATGCCTAGGCTGGGCTCATGAGCCTCATTTTGCAGTTCAGTCTTTCTACTCCACACGGGAGCTGCAGTGCTAATGTTTTGATTGTTTCCCCCTCGCCCCTCCACCTCAGCCTCCAGGCTAGATTTCCACATTTAGAATTCTAAAGAGGGAAAACTAGGAGGACGTGCCCCAGTGTGCCCCTCTTTCAGTGCCATGTGTGCCACCTGTGCAGGTGTCCTACTGAGCTACGGTCTCCTAGGATGCACCTAATGTCTGGTCACCAGCACCATGACCCTCGGGCCTCAATGAGACTGTAGACCACCACAGCCTCTGAGTTGAGCCCTAACTGCGCTTCAAGCCCCATGGGTAGACCCTGGCTCTGCAACTCAGTTTCGGAATCCTGGCCCAAAAAATGTTGGTTGGGAGACCTCATATCCTAGTTCAATTTATCATACATCACAGTGGCTCAGTTGCATTATGAACTGTAAACATGGTCCCATTACTGGACCACTCCCCATGCAGCACACTGTGAAATAATTCTCTTACAAGTTAATTAGCTTATGTGTAGCATTTTATTTTGTAGAATGATCATATTTATTTGTTAGAAATAAACCTGTAAAATATTTTAAATGTACCACAGTTTATTTTATAGCCCTGCCTGGCATTTCTTCACTTTTCAGTACAACATGAACTTAAAAATTGGCTTCTCTAACCTCTAAGAGGCCCCAGTTTCTGTATATTTATTTTATAACCAGCCAATTTACTGAACTGTATTTTATTTCTTAAAATACTCTGGTAGATTCTCGTGGCTTTTCCAGGGACATGATAATGTATAGCATCTGCAAATAATGATGGATTTGCCTCCACAAACTGTCCAGGCAGGGACTGTGTTCTTATCCACTTATAAGATGACACTCATATAACTCCGAAGCTAGCCCACCAGACCCTCCTGTCTGGCCCCAACTCATCTGTAAACCTCCAGCCTTCAAATTCACCGCTTCCACATGTGCATCCTATACTGCACACACGCTTTTGCTGGTTTTCCCAAACACACCAACCTGCTTCCAATTCATCTGCATGAACAATTGGATTAAAATTAAAATGACGGATTTGAGAAGCGCTGCAAAAGAAAAATACTTATGGCTTGGGGGCTGAAGAGGAAGAGGGAACACTGGGAGTCAGGGAGAACCTGATTTCTGATATTGGGGCCTGGGAGTGTGAAGGGCAGTGATAGATACAGCAGTAGATACAGATAACGGGTCCTCTATATAGGAAAAACCAGCACGGTGGGTTCAGAGAGATACTAGGGGATGTGCCCTTTTCTTCCTGAAAAAAGAGTCCATCTTTTCTTTTTCCCTCACAGAACTGGACTACATAACGGTCTCAGATTCCTTGGATCACACATTCCTACTGCTTCCAGGCCACTGCCTGGGGATGGCTTTCTCCAACTTATATTACAGCTTTGAACTACAGAAGTTTTGCAATGCCAAGAGCCTGAACCAGACTGAGTGCAATGAAGTTCGTGAGTATTGCAAGTGGAATTTGTTAATTACATTTTAAAAATTGAGATATCATTCATGTAAAATTTGCCCTTTTAAAGTATGCAATTCATTGGGTTTTGGTGTATTTGCAATGTTGTGCAACTGTCACCACTATCTAGTTCTAGAGCATTTTCGTCACCAGAAAAAAAGAAATACTGTATCTGGCTTTCTTTAAATACGTTTTTATTGAAGTATAGTCAGTTTTCAATGTTGTGTCAGTTTCTGGTGTACAGCACAATAACTCAGTCATACGTGAACATACATATATTCATTTTCATATTCTTTTTAACCATAAGATACTATAAGATATTGAATATAGTTCCCTGTGCTATACAGTATAAACTTGCTGTTTATCTATTTTATATATAGTAGTTAGTACCTGCAAATCTCAAACTCCCAATTTATCACTTCCCACCCCCTTCCCTCCTGGGTAACCATAAGTTTGTTTTCTGTGTCTGTGAGTCTGTTTCTGTTTTGTAAATAAGTTTGTCTTTTTTTTTTTTTAGATTCCACATATAAGTGATATCATATGGTGTTTTTCTTTCTCTTTCTGGCTTACTTCACTTAGAATGACATTGTCCAGGTCCATCCATGTTGCTGCAAATGGCATTATTTTTTTTTATGGCTGAGTAGTATTTCTGTCTGTTAATGGTCATTCCCCATTCCCTTTTCCCCCAAGTCCCCAACAACCAAAAATCTACTTTCTGTGTGGATTTTCCTGTTCTGGACATTTCATGTATATGGATGGAAACATCACCATGTGACCTTTTGTATCTAGCTTCTTTTACTTACAATAATGTTTTCTAGGTTCATCCAGGTTATGATGTGCATCAGTACTTCATTCCTTTTTATGGCTGAATAATATTCCGTTGTAAGGGATAGGCTACAATTTGTTTATCCATTCATCAGTAGATGGGCATTTGGATTGTTTCTACATTTTGGCTCTTATGAATAATGCTGCTATGAGCATTCATGTACAAGTTTTTGTGTGAACATGTTTTTGGTTCTCTTAGGTGTATACCTAGGAGTGTATTTGCTGCATCGTATGATGACTCTGTTTAGCTTTTTGAAGAACCACCTAACTATTCTCCGCCATGGCTGCACCATTTTACATTTTACCAGCAATGCATGAGGCTTCCAACTTGTCCACATCCTTTCCAATGCCTTTTTAAATTAGTTATTTTCTTAAATTGTGGTAAAATATATATATATATATATATATATATATATTTTATCATTTTAACCATTTTAATTGTACAGCTCAGGGGCATTAAGTACTTTCACACTGTTGTGCAACCATCCCAACCATCTTTCCCAGAACTGCTTTCATCTTATAAAACTGAAACCCTGAGCCCATGAAGCACTAACTCCCCATCTCTCTGCCCGAGCCCCAGCGACCACCCCACTCTCTGTCTCTGTGGTTTGACTACTCTGTATGAAACGTTTTAATTCCTTCCTCGTTTCCTTTTGGGTATGTCCCATAGCTATTTTCTTTGTGGTTACCATGGGAATTACATTTATCATCCTAAAGTTATAACATTCTAATTTGAATTTATACCAGCTTAACTTCAGTAACATATAAGAACTGCTCCTACACAGCCCCATCCCCACTCCCTCTCAGTTACTGATATCACAATACCTCTTTAGGTATTGTGTGTCCAGAAACATAGATGAAGAATAGTTTTTTATGCATTAGTTTCTTAAATCATATGAAAAACAAAAAGTGGGATTATAAACCAAAGGTACAACAATACTAGCTGTTAGAATTGTCCCTGTATTTACGTTTGTCAGAGTTCTGTATTATTTTGATCTGTAAGTCCTGATATGGCCAATGTCTGTTATATATTAGTAAATGAAGCAAACGAATTGGAGAAGATAATGCATAGTATCATTCCTCTTGTATTTTGAAAGATTATATCTAGAAAGTATAACAGGATTATGTACAGAATTGTAACAATAGTTTTGGGGAGAGAAGATGTGCCTTGACTTTCTGCCTCATACATGTCTTTTTTTTCCAGTGAGTATGTATTTATTGTATAATTTTGAAATACATGTGTTTAAAAGACAATTTTAGGCAAATCAGATTAAAAAGACGAGAACACAGGCTGCTGGGTGTTTTTACAGGAGTGATCAGTTGAAGTTGCAGGGTGATTAATGGTTAATAGAAGAAATGTATAAATATTTTGTATTTCAAATAACTGTCATATGGACAGGGAGAATTCTTTTACTTTACTGCATTATTTTTGCAGAACATTGGTTTTAGCGAGGAAAATGGAATATTATGTTTCCCATCTGCTGGAATGTGGTAATAGCATTGATGAAAATAATGCTTCTTTTAAATGGTATTTGTTATAATAGGAACTTACCTGCTATATGTAAAAGGTGAGGAAAGGCTTGGAAAATCACCTAAAGCTTGATAACATCTGTTCACCCCATTTTAGCAGAACGATATGTGGTCCAAAAGAACATCTATGCATGGGAGTCTCTGGGGATAGGGAAGTATCTGACAGCCCTTGGCATCTCAGGACCTGAGTACCTCATCCTGCTTTTCCTCATTGAAACCAATGTCTTGTCGAAACTGAAAGCCAGGTTTCCTGACTGGTAAATGGGTCAAAGTTTAAGTCTCTAAGGACAGGTCAAGGGGCTCCTCCATGGCTTCCTTCCTCCAGTCTGCGTGGCCTCGATTCTCAGCATCTGATGGAGCCTGGAGACCATTTAATCCACCCTCAGGGTAGAGAGGTGACGGCCATCCCCTGGACCCACAGGGGCCTGATGGGTGAAGGAGGAAGAGTCTTGGCTTTGACCCAATTGACCTTGGCCAGCCAAGTAGAAACAAGGCCCTGGATTTCCTAAAACTAGTCACCTTGGGACATCTCTTTCCCTCAGTCATTCAGGAGCCAGATAGGAGAAAGATCGGTTCTGTCAGCTCTTGGCTTGAATATATTCCAGAGTTGAAGCGCCCTGCTGCCAACCAAGGAAATTCTGTAGAAAGTGGGATTTGTTCTATCTTGACATCTCCAGGGTTCAAGTCTTTTAATTTACCGTAAGAGCCAATGCCACGTCAAGTTTCCTTGTCACCGTCATGTCAACATGCGTTCAGTCTTGACCGTGGCTGCCCCTGAGAAAGGGTGGTGGTGTGCATATGGGAACTGAGCGCAGCTGGGACACCTTCCCAGGGAGGACCCAGTCCCTGTGGTCCCCTCAATCTCTACCTCCTGCCCTCATGAAACCACTAACACCTACCATCCTTGTCTTGGGAAACCAAGTAGTTTGGCACAGGGCAGTGTCCATGCCTGGGGAAGAGGAGGCGGAGATGATCAAAACTCATTTGGAAAACTTGCATAAGAAAAACCCACTGGTCCTTAAAGAAGTGTCTAAGGTAAGTCTGATATGGCTTAAAAAGCAAAGACCATTACTCTTGGGGGCCCTTTGCATAAGGAACCAGCCATCAAGGTCTCCAGGAGCCACCCACTGGCTTGAACTATAGTAGTACCCCCTATCAGCAGGTTCGCTGTCTGAGGTTTGTTACCTGCAGCCAGCTGTGATCCAAAAATATTAAATGGAAAATTCCAGAAATATGAATTCACAAGTTTTAAATTCTGTGCTGTTCTGAATGTGATGAAATCATAAGCTGTTCTACTCCTTCCCTTTGTCCAGCTTATCCGTCCTTTAGTCATTTAATTGTCAGCTCAGTTATCCGATCAACCATTGCAGTATCACAGTGCTTGTGTTCTAGTAATCCTTATTTTATTTAATAAGACCCCAAAGCCCAAAAGTAGTGATGCTGGAAATTCGGATATTCTCTTACTGTACCTAATTTATAAATTAAACTTTCTCATAGGAGTGTACATATTGGGAAAAAAACATAGTATATGTAGGGTCTGGTGCAGTCTGTGGTTTCAGGCACCCACTGGGGGTCTTTGACCATATGCCCTGCAGATGAGAGGGGACTACTGTACTGACAAAGGATTTGGATGAGTTTTGGTGGAGACAGACTTGGAGAGTTTGTGAATGAATCCGCTGTAATTTCCTCTGTGAATGAATCACATCGTTCCTCTGTGAATGAACCATTTGTGTGCCCAGAGACTGAAGTTATCACCTCAGCCTCCCCCATTGTCTCTTCTAGGGCACTCTGTCAGACAGGAAGGCCTGGGAAGGAAGGCACACCAGAGCCACAAACCCCAAGAAGCCTTGATGGTTGAATATGGTTGACTCTATCCTAGATCTAGAAGACAGTTTGTGGAGGAGCCAAGGTAGGGGACTAGGTTCCAAAACCTCAAACCAAGTCTGGTTAGTCTCCCTGAGAGTCCCAGCGGGAACTGTATTCAGAGATATCCAGGAACTTTATATAGATCCACAAATAAACACATGGAGAGAGAGTAGTTTCCCTCTAGCTACTAGTGGTTAAAAACAACAACAACTCAGGCAACATCAAAGAGATTTTCTTTGCTTCAAGGACAGAAGGAAAGAGGCTTATCTTAGAGAACTAGGCTCTCAGTTTGCAGGGATGGGAGGAGAGAAACCTCCCCAGCCCTGCTGGGAGCAGCAGCCGGGAGGAGAAGGCAAAGTCAAGCCTGGGTACCCTGCGCCCCTAGGCCCTGAGGTCGGCTCAACCTGCCCCAGAGCTGGTGTGTGGCAGGCACAAGGTAGCTCCAGACTGCTGACTCCAGGCCTCCTCACTGTATGTCTTCTGTCTTGGGTATCTCAGGTCTATGCCAACAAGGTGCCTTCATTGGCTGTGGACAAGATATCCTTCACTGTTCAAGCAGAGGAATGCTTTGGCCTTCTTGGCTTCAGTGGAGCTGGGAAAGCTTCCATTTTCAAAATGCTCACTGGGGAAGAGCCTATCACCTCTGGGGACGCCTTTGTCAAGGGCCTCAGCATCCGCTCTCACTTGGGGAAGGTAAGGTGTGACCTGTTACAAGAGAGGCACGAACCTGGGGAAGGTGTGTGTGTTTCAGGAAGAGGGGGACACTGAAATACACCTAGGGGTGTTACAGAGGGTTGGGGCACGGCAATTGGAATGAAATTGATCTTTGAAAATTCCAGGTATCAGATTTTTGTGTGCCTCCCAAATCCATAGCTCCATACTAGACCTCTTCCCTGCGCTCCAGATCATATATTGAGCTGCTTACTCAACATTGCCTCTGGAATGTCCCTGAAGCGCAAGGCACCTGAAACCCAATGGACCCCAAAAGCCATTAGCTATCTCCATACACCCCCAACCTCTTCCTCCCTCTGTGCTTCCTGGGGGAGTGAGGGGCACACACCTACCGCTGTACAAGGCATCACCCAAAACAGCTAGTTGGCATCCATAGTCCATGGATGCTTCCTCCCAAATAGGCCTGGAATCTGTTCTCCCTGGCGCTGTTCATGGCACTCACCTGAGTTGAGGCCACTCCTAACTTTCAGTCTTATCTTCCTTGCCATCTCTGCAGCATTTCATGATGTAGACCTTTCTCTCCTTCAAATTCGAGCTTTCCTCTGTTTATTTCTACAACTCCCCTCTGTTCTGGCTCTTCTCCATCACTAGCACGTCTTTCCTAGACTCCTTTGGTAGATCTTCCTCATCTAGCCCACGAGACTGTGGTGTTCCTCAGGCTGCAACATCAGCCCACTGTCTTCCCCATTCTGCACACACTGTCCCCACCTGATCTCAGCTGTTACTCTGACTCCCGTTATCTTCTGTTTGCTGATGTCTTCCAAGTAGCCACATCCTCAGCCCAACCCCAGCCCTGTGTTTCAGACCTGCATATACATGCCTTCTAGACAGCCATACTCAGACATCTCCCATGTTAAACTCAAACTTATTATGTATCCCTCAAACCTGACCTTCTTCTTGGAGTCTACTTCAATTTTTGGCACCAATCAATGAAATAATTTTTGAATGCCTAGTATATGCCAATAGTCATGCTAGGCCCAGTGATTCTTACTTGCCAGGAACTCATGATCATGTGAACAAGCTGTTGCCATGCCATGAGGTAAGTGTAATAACGGACGTGGTGGTCAGTATACAGTGGATTCAATGATAGGCGTATGAAGAGACCAAACTACAGAGGCATAATCAAAGCTGCACTGTTCACAGCATGAACCATGCTAGTGCCAAGAAGTTTATCAAACCAGCTTTAATGTCCATGAGCAAAACAAAGTTTAAGTCTCTCATGGCCATGAAATATTTACTATTAATTTCAAATTTTATATTATTTAAAAAATCACGGGCAAGTCTTTTGGTAATGGCAAGTTAGGTAACTCTAAAGGATTGCATCCCAGGTGTAGGTTTGAGCTATACTTAGACAAGCTCATGCAAGGATTGCAGAACAGCTTGGACTCTTATCAGTCCCTGAAATGGAAGTGGTGTGACCCTAAACCACCAGTGTTCCCAGGCACCTGCAAGAAGCAAATGTAAACAGAAGTCTGCTGGAAGATGGCCTCAAATGATTTCTACAAATAATTTGCAAATGTAATTTTGGTACACAATAAAAAATAACCAGAAACATGTACATAAAAGACAACTCCCCCCAAAAAATAATTTAGAATGAAGCATCAAGAGTCAAAAGTCAAAAGGGTAGAAAATATATGAAAGAAAATAAGAGACATTGTGGTATACCATCAAGACAGCCCCTAGGAACCCACTCCTGATAATCACACCCTGGAGCAGTCGCATCCCATATTGTACCAGGGCTGGTCTGTGTGACTGACAGAATACTGTAGAAGAGATGGTATGTCACTCCTGAGATTGGGTTATAAAAGACACTGCAGCTTCTGTCTTGGGTACACTCTCCCCCTCACATCACTCACTCTGGGGGAAGGTAACGGACATGTCATGAAGACACGCAGGCAGCCCTGTGGATTATTAAAGAAAATAGTCAATGTGACAGAAGGTGGGGGTGTGCGGTAAGGAACAGTCAATGAGTACCTGAAGCCTGCCAGCAACTATGTGCATGAGCTTGAGAGCAGATCCTCCAGCCTTCAAATGACTTCAGGCCCAGCTGAGAGGTTAAGAGCGACCTCATGAGAGACCCTGGACAGAGCCACCAAGTTAAGCTGCTCCCAGATTCCTGATGTGACCCACGGAAACCATAAGACAATAAATTACAGCTAAGTTGTGAACTAATTTGTCATGTAACAATATATAACTCATTGGATACAGTGAGAAGATTTAATATTCTGTATAACTGAAGTCACAGAAGGACAGGATACAGATATGAGGCAAAGCAATAATTGAAAAATGAATGACCGTAACTTTCCAAAATTTATGAAAAACATCAAATTATAAATAAATAAAGCCCTGTTAACCCTAGGCAGGATAAATTGAAAGAAATAAATCCTTAGGAATATTACAGTAAAAACTTCTGAAAAATAAACACAAAAAGAAAACCTTAAAAGGACCCACCTCCGAAGGAGCAGCAGTTAGACTGGCAGCTGACTTTTGAACAGAAATAAAAGAGGCCAAAAGATAACAGAACAGCACATCATAAGTGATATGAGGATAATGTATCCAGTAAAACTATACTGCAAAAAGAAGATATAAAAAGCACATGTTCAGATAAGCAAAAACTGAGAGAATTTATTACCAGCAGATGTGCACAAAAATAAATAATAGAGGGTGGTTTTGGGGCAGAAAGAAAATGACCCCTGATGGAAAAGGTCAGAGGTACAAAAAAAGGTGAAGAGCAACAGAAAATGTCAATGTGAGAGTTGTGACTAAACGAAGCTATAATAATAAAGTCTTGTGATGTTGAAAATTCATATAAAATTAAAATACAGGACAGTAATGGTTGTAAGTCAGGAGAGGGTAAATGAAGTTGAGTATTTTAAGGTCCTCACCTCACTCATGAAGAAAGTATAAGTTCCAGGTAATAACTGTATGTTGCTAAATCAAGGATGCATGTTTCAGTCTCTAACAGAAAAACCAAAAGAGTTGGAGGTGGGAATGGGGATGTATATACCTTTTAAGCCAATAGAGGGAGACAACAGAAAAATGAAAAAAAAAAATCAATGTGACAGAAGACAAGAAGTGAGAGAGAAAAAGGAACATAGAACTTATGGGACAAATAGATGGCCCTAATAAGGTGGTAGATTTAAGGGGAGAGGCTATAGCTCAAGTGCTAGAGCACATGCCTAGTATGCACAAGGTCCTGGGTTCAATCTCCAGTACCTCCTCTAAACATAAATAAATAAATAAACCTAATTATCTCCTTCAAATTTAAAAAAAAAAGATGGTAGATTTAAATCCAAGTAAATCAGTAATTACATTATATATGAGTGGACTAAAGACTCCAATTTAAAGATTAAGATTATTAGAGAAGATGTTCAAAATGGTATTACCATATGACCCAGCAATTTCACACCTAGGTGTACACCCAAGAGAACTGAAAATCCACACTCAATGAAAAAATTTGTACATGAATGTTCATAGCAGCATTTTTCACAATAGCCAAAAGGTGGAAACAACCCGAATGTCCAGCAACAGATGAAAGACTAAACAAAATGTAATCTATTCATACAACAGAATACTATTCAACCATAAAAAGGAATGAAGCACTGACACACGTGACAATATGAATGGACCATAAATACATGATGCTAAGTGAAAGAAGCCAGGCACAAAAGGCCACATTTTGTATGATTCTGTTTATATGAAATATCCAGAACAGGCAAATCTATTGACGTAAGTAGACTAGTGGTTGCCAGGAGCTGGAAGTATTGGGGGAAGTGGGGATTTAGATATGGTTATGAGGTTTCTTTGGTGGGGAATGATGAAACATTCTACAATTGATTGTGATCATGGGCCATCACTGTGAATATGCTAAGAAACCATTGAAGGTGTACACATTTGATGGGTGATTGTGGTAACTGGGTGAATTGTATGGCATGAGAATTATATCTCAATAAGCTGTTATAAAAGAGAAGGAAGGAATGAACAAACGAACAAAGGAATTAAAGACAAGGCAGGGCAAGGGAGATGGTCATGGGCAGACCCTCCCTCTGGCCTGTCTTCAATCATCCATCCAACAGACATTAACTGAAGCTCACAGAGAAGGAAATGTGAACCTACCCCATAAACTCAAATGATAAGCATTGTTACATTTCTTTGTAGTATTTAAAGTCAAGTGGCATCTGCCTACAAGGCCCTCATCCTGCCTGACTGGCAAGAAATTGGATTTCAGTCTTTCTGAAACTGGATTTGCACATCACTTCCCGGCAGTTTGTGAAAATTCATAGTTGGAAATACAGAATTTAAATATAGTTAGACCTGCTCCTCTACTTCTCCATTTTCTCCTTAATTCTCACATGAATTAATCTCATTAGCAAAATCTAACAAAGCTGCATCCTTGCTCTCTTCCTTTGTGAGCCTTCTGCTCACCACCCTTTATCTGTTCAAGTATTTTTAAGCATTCTTCCGCGTTTCCTAAAATACCTTCTTATCAAAAATCAACAGTGACTTCTGAGAGTCCATACGTACTCCTGTCAGAGTCACTGCCTCAGAGTCATTCAGCTCCACTGTGGGGTTGTCACTAGTCCATGATGCCACCATGATGCTCTGACCAGTGTTCCTTATCCACCCCAGATGAGCCACCATGGCAACAGGCTTACTCCAGACTCAAGTGTGCAAGAAACATCACATTTCTTTATTTTCTTTAAATCAAATTATAACATTTTCAAGACTTCTATCCCAAAATTGGTTTAAGAAATAGAAAGCCTATATAGACCAAAACTGGAGGTAAAATTGAAATAATGGTAAAAGATGTACCCTTCTTAAAAGAGTCTAGGCTAAAAGGAATTAATGGGCAAGTCTACCAACCTCCACCAAAAAGGTATTTCCTTCTCATACAACCCCTTCAGAAGCATAGGAGACAAGATGAGGTGCTACCCAATTATAAGTGAAAAGCCAGAAAAGAATAGTGTCCGAAATGAGCCACAGGCCAATTTCACATAGGAACATACATACCCTAAATAAGCTATTAACAATACAAATTCAGCAGTATATTAAAAGAATAAAAATTATAATCATTATATTTATTCCAGAAATGTAAGTAAAGTTCAATGGTAGAAAATCCATCAATATAAATCACTACCTTGATAGATGAAAGGAGAAAAATATTTATCAATAGAAGCTGAAAAAGCATTTGATAAAAACTCAGTACCCACTCATCATTTAAAAAAATATTTTATCAAACTATCTTGAGAAAAAAGAACAAAGCTGGACGTGTCACATTCCCTGACTTCAGACTATACTGTGAAGCTATAGTAATCAAAACAGCATAGCACTGGCACAAAAACTGACACATAGGTCAAAGGAACAGAAAAGAAATCCCAGAAATAAACCCATGCACTTATGGTCAGCTAATCTATGACAAAGGAAGCAAGAATATACAGTGGGGGAAAAGCAGTCTCTTAAATAAGGTCCTGTGAAAACTGGACAGCTGCATGTAAAAGAATGAAATTGGAACATTTTCTCACACCATGTTAAAAAATAAACTTAAAATGTGATACTGAGTTGACTGTGTTCCTTCCTTTACCACCTCACTGTTCCCCTTCCCTTTCCTAAGGCAATAGTGCACAACTTGGGTTATTTTTGCTTCAAAAATTTGAACAGAAAATTTCATGTCATGGATTTTTTTTCTTTTGCAAGGCACCTGTTTATCACCTTGTTCAAAAGTAAATGTTCCTTTAGACTTTTGAAATAAATTTCCCTTTGTAAAAAACAAAACAAAAACCTCAAAATGGATGAAAAACCTAAAGTAAGACCAGAAACCATAAAACTCCTAGAAAAGAACATAGGTCACTATTTGACATAAATCATAGCACTATCTTTTTTGGATCTATCTCCTAAAGCAAGGGAAACAAAAGCAAAAATAAACAAATGGGACCTAATTAAACTTCAGACCATTTGCACAGCAAAGGAGACCACTGTCAAAATGTAAAGGCAACCTACTGAATGGGAGAAAAATATTTGCCAGTGATATGACTGCTAAGGGGTTAATACCAACATGTGTAAACAGATCATATGACTCAGTGTCCAAAAAACCCCAAACAACTCAATTTGAAAATGGGCAGAATAACAATAAACATTTTTCCAAAGAAGACATGCAGATGGCCAACAGGCAAATGAGAAGATGCACAATCATCAGAGAAATGCAAACCAAAGGCACAACAAGATTATCACCTCACACCTGTCAGAATGGCTATCATCAAAAAGTCTACAAATAACAAATGTTGGTGAGGATGTGGAGAAAAGGGAACTCTAGTACACTGTTGGTGGGAATGTAAATTGGTGGAACCACTATGGAAAACAGTATGGAGATTCCCCAAACTAAAAACAGAATTACCATATGATCCAGTCATTCCATTTCTGGGTGTTTATCTGAAGAAAACTAAAGCACTAATTCAAAAAGATACATGCACCCCTATGTTCATAGCAGTATTATTTACTATAGCCAAGATATGGAAGCAACCTGAATGTCCATCAACAGATGAGTGGATAAATAAGACATTAGATAGATAGGTAGGTAGATAGATAGATAGATAGAGACAGAGAGAGAGTGGAATATTACTTAGCCATAAAAAAGAATGAAATTCTGCCATTTGCAACAACATGGATGGACCTAGAAGGTATCATGCTTAGTGAAATATGTCAGATAGAGAGAGACAAATACTGTATGTTATCACTTAGATGTGGAATCTAAAAAATAAAACAAATGAATGTATATAACAAAACAGAAACAGATTCACAGATATAGAGAACAAACTTGTGGTTACCAGTGGGGAGAGGGAAGTGGAGAAGGGCAACATAGGGGTAGGGGATTAAGAGATATAAATGACTATGTACAAAATAAATAAGCAACAAGCATATACTGTACAGCACAGGGAAATATAACCATTATTTTCTAATAAATGGAGCATAATCTATAAAAATAGTGAATCACTATGTTGTATACCTGAAGATAATTTAATATTGTAAATCAACTATACATCAATAAAAATTTTTTTAGCAAACTAGAAATAGAAGAAACATTAGGTTAAAATCTCTTGATAAAAGCAGTCAGAAATTTTCATATTTAATAGTGAAATATTTGAAGCATCTTTATTCAAGTCCTCTGTGTTTTTCTTCTCAGCAGTTCCCCACCACCACCTAACACCTGTCTTCAGGGGAGGAGGCCCCACTCTGGGAATCCAAAGCCCTGCCTTTAGCTAGGTGATGACCCTTCCAACGTTCTTCCCTAAGCAGACACTCCAGGTAGTTTTCTGGTTTGCATCCCATCACAGCTTCTCCACCCACCACTCCCAGATGGTGGAGCACAGAGCTGTCCAGCTGCTTCATAGGGGAGGAAAGAAGGGGAAGGAAGAACGCTGGTTATCTTTCAAAAATGGCATCACACTATTTTCATCATCGACTCCAGGGGAACACTTGAATATGGATGGGCACAAATCAGGGTGGCTCACTCCAAGTTCAGGATGGCAAAAACTTGGAAATATCACATATGTGCTTGAAATTTTAATAAAGCCAAGTCAAATCTAGAAACTTTCCCTGGATGACTAAGTAGCAGTTAAATTGAATTTGAGTGGGTTTGTATTTACTGACCAAGGAAGATCTTTAAAACATAATGATGAGTTAAAAAGAACGTCGCAGAATGGTAGATAATGGATGATACTGTTTGGCAAAAACAATATAATCGGTCCTCTGCGGGGAGCACACAGCCATGCAAAAGTCTGGAGGTGCACCCTCACCTGACCACCCTGCTGGGCAGACCCTGTGAGAGATTCAAACAGCCTTACAAAGAAAATCTATTCATGGGTACATGTCCAGTAGAAAATATGCTTAAAGGGGAAAAAAGTAAAATGTCTTCTATTGACCAGACACTTAGAAGGTGACGAGAGGTAAAGAAGTGCTGGTCGCTGAGGCTTCCTGCCAAGGAGGCAGGAAGTAAGTGCTCCAACCCCACATGCGGCCTCCAGAATGGGTGTTCACGCCGCCACCCAGTGCTGCATCCAGGCTGCCTAACGTCATCGCTGGCCCATGCACTCCCTGGCACACATCTGTTCCCTTGGCACATGTGGGTGTGCACAGAGCAGAAGCAGGCCCCTGCCCAGTCCACAACTTACCTTCTGATGCCACTCCCCATCAGGCTGTGTTCCAATCCCAGGTGCGGCAGTGGATTGGCTACTGTCCCCAGTTTGATGCCCTGCTGGACCACATGATGGGCCGGGAGACGCTGGTCATGTACACCCGGCTCTGGGGCATCCCTGAGCGCCACAGCAGTGCCTGCGTGGACCAAATTCTTGATGACTTACTCATGTACACATATGCTGTCAGCCTAGTGAGGACCTACAGGTGGGACCTGCGGTTCTCTCAGCCCTTCCCCCTTCAGTAATAGATGCGCTCTGGCTCTTCTCATTGCTGGGATGTAGGGCAAGGACCATCAGTTCCGTGCTTGGGGTAGTTGTGGGGTCCATGCCACTGCATGGATTTTCAGGGAGGCAGCCTCTTCTCCAACCCTCCCCTATCCCACTATGAGTACCAGTCAAGGACCTGGGCTGCCCCAAAGCAGTTCTTCCTCTTGGCCCTGGGCAGCTGATAGGCAGATGCACCACAGCTGTTATACTTCCTGCCACCTCCCAAAGGGCTTCTAATTTTAGGTAGGCTTGCATTTCAAGCACACATTACCTTATCTTGCTGTGTGTGAGGCATCTAAGCTGTTGATGTTCTGCTGAGAAGCCTAGGGGAGTCCTCAGTCTTGTTGCCAGTGATCCTAACCCAACTCAAACTAGATCTCCAGAGTCCCAGGACTCCCCCGAGCTGTGCACAGCACCCCTGGAGGTTCGCATTGATTCCTCACTCCCTGGACTGGGAAGTCACATGATGTAGTCCTTGTCTCTTCCCTCTCTGTTGGCTTCAGTTTCAAGAATGTTTCCTTGTTTCCTTGCATCTTTTCAAGATTAAATGAGTTAACACTTGCAAAGTTTAGAACATTGCCTTGTATATTGTAAATGCTATGTGTTTGTTTAAAAGAAAGTTAACTAAAATCACCCTATGCCCTTACCCCCATCACCCATAGAAACCCTCAGAGGAGATTTATGGACCATGTGCTCACCCTGGACTGATGAAATAACTGTCCAGGGGGATGGTTTATATGCTGAGTAGACCGCCAAGCCACAGTGCAACCCTGGTGGAGGGTGGTGGGCCATGTTACCGAAAGCCCCCACCAAGGGTATGGGGGGAGGATTGCACTATTGGAAACTTACTATTGCCATTCACTCAAACTCTCCTCTTCTTCCCTAGTGGTGGCAACAAGTGGAAGCTGAGTGCTGGCATCGCCCTGCTTGGAGAGCCTATGTTCATCTTCCTGGATGAGCCGTCCACTGGCATGGACCCCGTGGCCCGGCGCCTGCTCTGGGGCACTGTGGTGAGGGCCCGCAAATCCGACAAGGCCAATGTCATCACCTCCCACAGGTAGAGCCAGAGTCGGTGTAGGTCAGTGGAAGAGCCAGGACAGGGGCTTTTGGGAGGGGTAGGCTGGGAGGGGCTGGGTGGACAGAAGACCTGTCAGCAGCTGGTGAAGAGTCTATAAGAAGAATCCCTAGGCTCTACTGTGTGAGCCACACCCTGAGCATGGGAATCAGGAACAGCCTGATCTGGGTGTCCACACTTTCCCATGTGCACACCTTTTGACATGGAGGGCAGGCATCAGCATCCCCCAGTGCGCTATCAAGCCTCTGCCCCCTCTCCCCAGCATGGAGGACTGTGAGGCCTTGTGCACCCAGCTGGCCATGATGGTGTAGGGTCAGTTCAAGTGCCTAGGCAGCCCCCAGCACCTCAAGAGCAAGTTTGGCAGTGGCTATGCCCTACGGGCCAAGATCCAGAGCGATGGGCAACAGGAGGCCCTAGAAGAGTTCAAGGCATTCGTGGACCTGACCTTCCCAGGTGTGTGCCGCTGTGCAGAGAGTGTCTATGCATCTGTCCATCCCTGACCCCTGGGATGAGGGCCACAAGTTCGTGGGTCCAGGCCCCCCTCCTGTGCCCCTCCAGTCTGGCCCTCACAGGAACATGGTCTCTCCTTTGTGCAGGCAGCATCCTGGAAGATGAGCAGCAAGGGATGGTCCATTACCACCTGCCCAGCGATGATCTCAGCTGGGCGAAGGTGAGCACATACCTGGGCATCGGAGGGAGCATACTCTGATGTCACCTGCTTTCTGGTGTTCTCTTGGGTAAAAGTCTCATTCCGTGCTGCTGCAACATTCACACGGATTTCATAGAACATAGGTGTTTGAGCCGGAAGGGACTTTAGAGATCGGCTCCTTCTGCCCCCTCATTTCACAGAGAGGGGAGCAGGCTCGGAGAGGGGATGCCATATGCCCAGAGTCATACAACAAGCCAGGGGCCCAGCTGGGGCCTTCTGGCACCATTCCCAGTCAGGGTCCCTTTCCCTGAGATCCCAGACAATTGAATTACATAGGACTCACTTCATGAGAGGTGGTCTAGGGGCAGCTTAGAAAGGGATGGACCTTTGAGGACTTTGTCACAACCCCAAAGGCCCTCCCTCTTTCCGTCCCCTGCTGCCTCCTCTCCCCTTCCCTGTGCCCCTCGTCCATAGCGGCCTTCTCCCTTCCCACAGGTGTTTGGGATTATGGAGCAAGCTAAGAAGTACATGTTGGAAGACTACACGGTCAACCAGATCTCTCTGGAAGACATCTTCCTGAGCTTCACCTGCCCTGTGCCCTGCACCCAAGGGGAAAGCAAACAAGGGCAAGCAGAGTCAGCAAGCCCCTCATTACCCTCTCCAACCTCCCTTCCTGCCTCCCTCCCAGCCTCCCTCCCAGCCTCCCTC